GAAGCTCGTTACATCCATATTATTACTCGGCGTAGTACAGTACCATACTCTACCATACAATACAATAGTTCAGTGGTTCCCAACCTTTTTCAACTCAGGGCCCACTTAAGAATCTAAAAACAATTTGCGGCCCACATTCAACCATAAACAATACGGAGGCTAAATAAAGTTCTGATTGGTCAATTCAGAACATGTGACACGTTGTTAATCCAGTAGAACAGACCGTTGTCAAGGACTGTAATGACCGTTGCTAAGGAGGACCGAGAAAGAGAAAGGAAAGGAGGTTCAAATAAAAAAAAAATCTTACAAATGAAATGTTTCCACACAAATCAGAATGTTTTGCTAATTATTTGGCGGCCCTCTTGCAACGCGGCCCCACAGGTTGGGAACCCCTGCTCTAGTTTAACTGTCGTTTGAGATGTGCATCCTGAAAGCATCCTTCACGAGCTAATAAAGCTGCTACAGGGTAACATGCAAGGGGGCTTATGAGCAGGGGTCCCTTGTGGCAGGCTGGGAGAGATTTTGGAGAGAGGGTTTTTTTTTTTAGTGGGGGAGGCAGTTACCTGTCTGTGATTGGGCGGCGGCGGCAGCAGCAGTGTACCACGGCAGCAGGTGCATCAGCAGCTCTCTCTGCCTGCTCCACACGGGGGGGGGTTGGGGTTGAGGTTGGTGTTGGGGTTGGGGAGGCTGCCACTTGCCCCTGCTACCGTCCCGTCTCTGTCCCCCCCCCTGGTCCTGGACATGGGACTCACGCTGTGCTGGCTTTCACTCCACCTCAGCCCTTCAGTCGGGACAAAACCAACGGCCACCATCAGTGACACCAGATTAGGCTAATTGGAAATGGACTTAATTGGGTTAACTGACACACTCCTGTAGACCTGCCTGTTTTTTTCAGTCAGAATTTAACAACAAATGCCTGCTTTGTAATATGTTTTTGAATGTTTCCGCCAATTCAAAGTCAATTGGACTAAACAACACTGCTTCTCTTTCAGATCCATGATGGGCAGGTCTATGAGAAGCAAAGCATTGTGGTCCCTGAGAGATTGTTAGTATCACTGTTAAATGTTAGCCATGTAGGAATGAAAACCAGCACCAGAGTACCTCCAGCAGCTGAGAACTACAGAGGGGCTCAGGCAAAGCTTGGGGGGTTTAGGGGAATATAAAGGGTAAAGATGAAGGAAGACAGCGGGGTCTGCAAGGGGGTCCATCGGCTTATCATGTCAGTTAAAACCGTTCTTTACTGTCAGACAAACACTTTTAAAACTAAGAGCATATTTGGTGGTTACTGTTCCACCTTCTGAAACCAACGTCCCATCAGCAGGTTTGAAAAGCATGTTTTTTTTGCACCATTAACCAAAATCAGAATCTGTAAATACAAACGTATTGTCCCATTTTCAAATGTCCAACAGTCATTGTAAGAATCTTGAATTTCTGTCAAGAAAAATGACCAAATCTGAGCTTAAAAACGCTGGATTATTAGATGGCAATTCATATTTTGCCGAAATTAAACCATGTAAGATAAAAAATAACCTGTAAAAACATTAAATTCTGTGCTTCTTAGTGCTACGTGTAAGCCATGACTTAAATAGTTCAATTTATATTTAGCATCAGGGCCCCCCGTTTTCAATAATATTGGAAACACTTGTAGGCTCTTGGCAAATCTATGAATTCCATTTCTTTCCCCCAAACCTTTGTAAAAGAAATGATCAAATGAATTCACCTTGTATTTCTTTTTTTTAATGATTAATGCCAGAATAACTGCACAAAACACACTTTAAGTTCTAGCAGTTATGTTGTCTTTGCCGAGAGGTGCAGGACTTTGATTAGTGAAAAAACAGAGTGTAAAATCTGACCGAAAGCAAAGAAAGAGTCCTTGAAAAATCTTTGGGTTAAGTCGGTTAAACCATACCAATATTTTAAGTTATTTTCTCCCTGTATCTCAGACATAGAGAGGTCAACACCTTCCCAATCTGTTACTCTAGCTTGTGCAGACCAACCGCATTCACCCGCTTAAGTTTCATTCCAAACCAGAAGGCCTCATTGCATCGATTCACATCTCCAGTGACAGGACTCCCTTTATCATTTGTCTTTTCTCTGAAAGTATAGATTTGTCTCATCGTGTCCTTGCTTGACCTCGAGGACCAGGGTGGGGTTAGCGTGAGGAATTAAGAGGCGTGTGTGGCTTCACCATGCAGGAGGAAGACGAGGAGGAGGAGGATGGGAATACAAAGATGGTGGGGGAATAATAGCAAGCAGTGGTTCACATTCACGAAAGAAAACTCTTTTTTATTCAACTTCCCTTCCTCATCTATCATCATTAACCTGACGTTCAACCTTGAGGCGCTTCCTCATAATCATTCGTCCTGTTCTGTACATCCATCACACTTGTAATGATCTATCCCCCCCACTCCTCTGCTCTGTAATAGTCAGATCCAAGCCCTTATCTGAAGTGTAGTCCAGCTGTGACCCCTCACCTGGGTTGTTCCTCTCCAGCAGGTACCAGCGGTAGAAGGCTCTGCGTTTGGAGTCGCTCATCTCCAGGCCCTGCTGCAGCAGCCACTGGGAGATGTAGCTCTGGCTGATGCCTGCGGGCAGAAATAGAGGCATGTTATCTCCCCACGTTCATTTATAGACTGATTTATTTCACGCTGCACTAACAGTAGGGTTTGTGAGATCGGCCGGGAGCCAGGCGCTGAAAAACTCCCGTTACACTAATGAAGACGTCCCGATATCAATGGGTTTAATTGAGGACGTGATTTGCTGCAATACGTTGGTGAACATACTGCTGCAACGTAACCAGATTGATGATCACAATTATGTTGAACAACAACGTCACTTCTTATTCTACAGAAGAATCAATGCGTTGCATGTCCAAACGATTCCATAATAACAGCAGGTAAATAGATGTTTCCTCTCCATCTACTGTAGCTTACTACTGTATATTTAGTTGACTCAAATCCAATGACATTAAGTCAGCTAAAATTAGACTCAAATTAAAAAAACTGATTACAAAATATGACTAAATAAACAAAACTAAATGTAATTTTAGTCAAAAATACAGACTGAAACAAGATCAAATGTGCAGTGATTCAGATTGGGTAGTTAAATTACACTTTCATTACCTTATTTTGTTAAATGAACAGTAGAATGAAACGTTTTTTCAAGCTAGTTAGTTAATTTAATCTTGTATGTATATGGTTACCAGTTAGCTTTGCAGCCAGTTGTGTTTTGAATTGCAAATTATTGCAAAAACAAAAACCTGTGAAGGCTTTGGCACACTTTAAACATGAGAAAAGTGCACTTTTGACTTGAACCGAGAAACAATCTTGAATCGGGACATAAAGAATACATTTCCAATCAATTAAGAGTTAGTTAAAGTTTCCCACCCCTTTAAAACAGCACTATTTATGCTGAAAAGTATCCTGTAACATGTGTCCTTGTAGAGTGTATTCACTTTACTAAGTTCCCACAGTACCTGTCACCTGGCCCACGATGGCCTGAGAGATCCTGCGGTTGTTGAGGAACGTTTTGATCTCCTCCTTCACCAGGTTGCTGTCTCTCCTGAAAGAAGCCATCACAACGGTTACACACTGTGGTTAAAACGGCAGCCTTTGCTCTCACTAACCTTATTCACTGCTGCTTCTCTTTTCTCAGCCGTCCCTGAACACCTGACCTGAATTAACTCCGCTCAAATTCTGGAGAATCAGCGTGCGCCTCGGGGGAGTGAGGCTGTCATTATCTGATGTTATAATAGTCCATACCGTTCTCTCTAACAACACTGTGTTACCTGCTGGTCTCAGGCCAGTCAGACTGTGCTGAAACCGGTCTTTCCAAACAAGCCTTAAAAGTTTTTTATAAAAATAGAAATCATTAAAACACTATCATTGCAATATATACTATCCAAATACAACATCCTCAGCTTTGACGATCTCATCCTGTTCTCAAAAATTAGATTGGAATCAAAGATACAATCCATTTCACACTTTCTCCCACATTTATTTTGGGCAACCAGTCTTGACGACATCAATTTTACTGTAATTTGAGATGTTAGTTTAACAAATGTACTACTATTTATATTTTATACATATAAATATATATGCCATCCACCGTCCTCCTTCTTCCTTCTGTTGTATATAAAGGTCCTTACACACCAAACTGACACCAAAGAACACGTCCCGACGGAACGTCACCTCACGTCTCCTGCGTGTTGGCCATCTGTCGCACTGGAACACACCGCAAAGACTTCAGCCGACGGCCAAGTTGCACGTACGAACTGCACGTGAGTGGAAATAACTCTCCTGACCAGCAGGTGGCGGTAGTGTGTATTCGTCATTCAAAAGAGGCAACAACCGGAAGACAGACTGCGTGATATATACAAACAAATAGTGCATTCCATTTTCACTCTACAGCGAGAAGCTCATGGGGCTTTCCCGAACCTGTGTCGAGAGCTGAAATCTCAGATTTGCCTTCTTAATAGTTTGTTTGGGTCCCTCACTTCCGTTTCGATTCTCATGCACTGATTCGCTAGCTGAACAGCCAATCAGAGGTTACAGGTTCAGGCTATACAGTGATCAGGGTTCGTTAGGCCAAGTAAATTCTGTTTTTTGTTAGGATTTGACTCTCCAAGGGCTCAGACACATTACGGTCTGCCCTGTCAACTTCCAGTTACTCACTGTACAGTGTTTAGGACATGGTTCCAGTCGCTGACTGTTTTCAGGGTTAGTTCCATGGTTTAGTTCTGGATTCTTCCCCAGTTTAGACTGTCATTAGGCCTTATACTGAGGTCAGTGTCCCAGTTCTCACATGTTCAGGTCTGACTCACTTTCTGGCCTTTCAAGTAAGTTTATGTTCAACGAGCATTTACTTCCATTTGTTATATTCTTAATTTCGTCTATGTATGTAAACTTCTCATACATATTCTTGCAGTATGATTGTGTACTGCGATTATCTCATCTTATGTATACATCCATCTTTATGAAATTTTACGTGAATTATAACTCGTCATTATCACTATAATCTCTCCATATCCCCGTCGGTCATAAACGATGTATGGTCCAGGCTATAACGTCATATACAACACATAAAAAGCACGTCCACAGTATTAAAGCGGACGGTACCACCTACTGTCTGACGAAAGACGGCACTTCTTTTGAGATTATTTATTAAGGTACTATACTGTTCTTTAATCATTAGTACTTTATATGTAAATTAATGTAAGAACCTACTACATATCACAATGTTATACTTTTGGTAGTGCAAACTACGATTGTTTGATATGTTTTTGTAGTACACTAATTTTATTTACTGAAGTCAAAAACAAAGTGAACAAAAGAAAAAAGGAGAGAAGTAGTGTCCGAGACGTCTTCCTCTGTGTTGTACATAAAATTTAAAGAGTCATATGATTATAATACATAAAAATGAATATGTATATACATAAAGGAATCGTCTCGGAACATCTTCGAGAAGACCAAGGGTAGACGAGTGACTTTGACGAACTACCGAAATTGCCGCGGAGATACACGAAGGACTGCGAGGAGGTAGTCCGAAGGACCTCGGGACTACTTGTGTCTCCGGGTGAAATTCTATCTTTGTGTGTATCAGACCATTGCGTAATTGCGATTCCCATGAACGATGACGGTCATTGTTAAACCTTTCTTGACTACCATTAATTAAGTAGACTACTTAACGTGGTCTTTTTGTGAAGTTTACCTTTCACGATTCCATAAGAAAAAGTTAATGTTTATTTTCCATAAGATCTTTTTTCTTCCCTTTTACCATACTTACCAGAGTTAAACACTGTAGGTTTTCTTTTGTGTCAATTGCTACCTTTTCACAATCATTGGAGCCCCTCTCGTTGTCTCCATCCATAATTTATCCTGATGTTAGACCAAGTATAAGTAGATGTTTTGACGAGAACACAAAGGAAGTTATTTGCGGTCACAGTTTAAGGAGACTAGGGTAAAGAACGTCTCGTGCCTACCTCGACGACGCTCACCTCTGGACGCGATGGGGACCTCGTCTAGCTGGAGGACGTCGCGGACGCAGAGAGGCGTACTGCGTTCCGGAGTCTAGGACGTGCGCGACTAGGGACCTAACTTCGACCTGAGCCTGGTGGCGGGCGGGAGTTTGACACTGACGGTCGGGTGGGGGAGGTGTGGTGGTTTTGTTGTTGTGTTGTTGTTGTGGTGGTGGTCGGACAAGGCCGAGGAAGGAGAAGGACGAAGGCGGAAGGAGCACAGGGAGGGAGCCCGGTGGTGCGTCCTGGAGGCCCGAACCTGCCTCGTCGCACAAGGGGTCATTGTCATGCTCCGGAGGGGGGGTGGAGAGATGGGGGGGTCCACACCGCCACGTGTGCGAGCAAGTCGATGCTAGTACTACCCGCTCTCCTCACCCTGGACCTCCTCTTCACCTTCTCATGTACTCCACTCACTTCTCAACCTCTCTAGAATCGAACCCGGTCAACTTCTCAGGCTGGAGGAATGAATTGTGCCAATTGGCAATAAAGCATCCTGGACCAATCAAAACACGTGTCCTCTCCCCTCTAAAAGGAAAACAGGTAAAAGGATAGAATGAAGCGTGGGGTAAGTAAAGTCTCTGGTAAAATGACCTTGATACTTCCACATAAAAGGGGTCTAAAATGGAAGTTTGAGGAATTAAGTGTCAAACACTCCGGAAGAAAGATTGGACTAAGGGGTGTGTTATACGCGAACTGTACTTATGGACAAGGTGATCAGGAATATGAGATGTAACGTAATTGTAAATATAAAGTACCGTGTATCAGGGAATCTGTGGTTCGGCTAAGCCGGCAGCATAACAGCCCGGCAGCTACTCCAGGTCAGCGGGATGAGTTCTAACCACACAGGGCGTGGCAGCACAGGAAAAGGCCGGTACGCTGAACGGTTAAGTTTGTACAACTTAGCCCGCTCCCAACAGACCATTTTCCGGCAGC